GGAAAGAGGAAAATGAAATCAGTTTTAACCGATGACGAAAAAGAACATATAATTTCTCAAATTGTCAAATGATAATGGATCATATTAACAATAGAGGTAAATATTTTGAAATATGGTATTATTTTGAAACAAATTACAGATTACTTGAGACTTGATCCTTCTCTCACCTTAAAACATGGAAAAGAAATGCTAATTTGGTGGCATATTCATTAGCTGAAAATTGTATCTTTTTCATAAAGATAATATCTTCAATGTAATCCTTGATTATATCCACAATATCATTTTAATGAAAAGAATGTGATTATGATGTTGTAAAAAAAATAATAAAATAAACATAATTTCTATTGTGAAATTAAATAAGGTGGAGCCTCAACCCAGCCCTGTGCAAGAACATTGGTAAAACTGTTACAGAGAGAATGTCATTTTATCAGATGTTGAATGTGGTTGGCTCTCATTGATATATATCAAATGTTGGATTACAAGTTTATGACGAACCAAGCACCCAAATTAACCTATAAACACTTATCAATGTTTTACTAGGAACACCTCACAACCATTTCTATAATCTGGTCTAGAATGAGATGTCACCACCCTTTACCTATTAACCAAAGCCAATCAAGTGTTACCCCTGCAAAAATACCTCCAAGAAGAAACAACACCAATAGGTTTCCCAAGGCATTTTGTTCTGGGCCCTACAATAAGTCAAACACACAAAATTAATGTGTCTCAAATTTTAAAGGGTTAAATAATTTTTTTAGTCATGTAAATACGATAATGTTCATTTTTAGTCAATGAACAATTCTGGCAGTGTGTAACACTTAACACAGACTCACCTTGTATCCTTTGGGTGCAGATGTTAGAACACAGACAGTGAGGTAACCATTGGATAGCCCCAAGAAGGACGTTAACATTATCATCCAACCTTGGTCACCATACTTTGCTGTGAAATAAAATGCTGGAACAAGTAAAAAACGGCTAAGAATGGCGATTGTGATCAACTTTCGGGACTCCAACTTCAAGCATTTCAAGAGTGGAATGTATCTTCCAATCAGATCCCATACATTATACATGGCAATTAAAACGAGAGCATACCTGAAACAATGGGATATATCAACTGTTACAATGGTACATATAATCTTAGAATACATATCTTGGTCTAATGTTTTGCGTCTAGTCATAAAGGAACAAAAGAGCTTTTACGTGTAGAGATCTAGAAGCTAAAACAAGTAAAGAAAATAAACTAAGTTGTAAATTGTAATGAATAATGAACATACCATGTGCCTAAACTATGTGATCCAGTATCTTCTGACAGGAATCCAGGGAAAATAGACAGGGTTAGCGTATAGATTAAGAACATATCAAGTGCATAGTCAATGTTTTCCAATAACAATTGCTTGTTTCCCTTCCGTTCTGTATCTTTTGTATATTCATTGGCCTGAAAAAAATAATTATTGCATAAGCTGAAATGGTGAACTTTGAACAACGAAAGTTTTGGGATGCATTGAAAAGTAAAAGAAACTAAAGAAACAGTACTTCTCCAGGTAATGTCCGAATGCCTCCAGCTGCAAGGTCAGATGAAACAGTTTTGGATCCTTCTGATGCTGCCTTTGAGCGGAAGTACTTCACAATTGGTATTTTAGGGAAAATAAATGCGTAGAGAACAACACAAAGGAGCTCAAAGAATGTTGAAATGGCAAAGAAAAGAACTGCATGAACAGTGTAACATGACAAGTGATTAGTAGCTAAATATACAATGATCATAAATTCATAACTAATATATATATATATATATA